ATGTTAAAAGTTGCTCAATATTATTAGTCCCTGGAGAAATGAAAATTAAAACTGCGATGAGATGCCACTACACACCCACTACAATTGCCAGAAATAAAAGACTCAATTGAAAGCGTCTGTGAGAATGTGGAGCAAGCAGCACACCCATATATTGCTGATAGGAATTGTAATAGTACAACTTTGGACAACATTTTGAAAATTTTCTTATAAAATAAAAAATACACTTAGTATATGACACAACAATTTACCTAAGAGAAATAAACACACATTTCCAGACAAATTTTCCACAAATGTTCATAGACTATTTATTGTATAGCCAGAAATTGAAAATAACTGATGAATGGAAAAACAAACTGGCTCATCCAAACAGTGTATACTGGGATGAATAGTGTTCCCCCTAAAATTCATGTCCACCTACAACCTGTGAATGTGACCTTATTTGGAAATAAGGGCTTTGCAGTGTAATCAGGGTAAATTGAAGTCATACTGGATTAAAGTGAGCCCCAATCTAATGACACGTGTCCTTTTAAGATTAAGGAAATTTCGACAACAATACAGAAGGAAGACAGCCATGAGAAGACAGAGGGAGAAATTAGCTATGCTGCCACAAACAAAGGAAAACCAAGGATTGCTGGAAAACACCAGAAGTGGAAGAGGCAAGGAAGGATTCTTCCCTACAGCTTTCGGAGGGAGCACGGCTCTGCAAACACAGTGAGTGATTTTGGACTTTTAGCCTCCAGAATTATGAGACAATAAAATTCAGTTATTTTAAGACACCCAATTTGTGATAATTTGTTACAGCAGCCTTAGGAAAGTAATCTACAACAAAATACTACTGAAAATAAAGTACTACTAATAAAAGAATGAACTACTAATACAGAAAACATGGATGCATCTCAAAAACATGCTAAAAAAAGGAGGAATAAAAAATGAATTTCATATGATTTACTTTATATGAAATATTAGAAAGGTAAAAATCTAGTAAGATAAAGCCTATCCGTATTTTCCTGGGTCCAGGTCTGTGAAGAATTTACTGAAAATGAGCATGAGGTAACTTTATGGAGTAAAGACAATATTCTATTTCTTTTTTTACCATCATAAGTATGTATACATTTAGCAATACTAATCAAATTGAACACTTAAAATGGCTGCATTTTACACTATCCATATTATACTTCAATAAAGTGTAGTTTCAAAGTCAAAATAAAAATAATGTACACTCATTGTAGAAAATTTGAAAATAAAATTAAAATAAAAGGGTCTCATAATTCTATTAGATAGAAGTAAATGACTGTTGAATTTTGACATACCTGAGATCATATTTTATGAAATTCAATTCTATTTGATCTCACTTCACATATCAGTTTCCCAAATCAATAAATATTGTCACAGAAATATAATTTTGTTATCTGCATGATAGTCCCATGGTGTTATTATATCATTTCTTTAAATTTTCCAATACTTTCAATATGAACTTTTAATAGTTTCTTTTTTGCTTTTAATTATTTAATTCATCTGTGATTTATTTTGATGTGTGGTTTTCAAAACATAAATAATTATCAATGGTGTTTTGCAAGCAGATATTGGCTTTTTTAAATTTCATAATTATTTGAAATAACCTCATCATGTAATACAGTCATGAATATTCTCGACTCTCTGGACATTACATTCGAGTCCATGGCTGTGTGTGTCTAGGCTTCTGTCAATACATCCACTGTTCATTTGCTTATTTATATGTTTTAGTAATCACTTGTCCAAGATTTTTCCTCTTGGTTTTAATAACTTTTAAAAATTCATCTAATTTTAGGTGAAATTCAGAACACCTTGTGATGTCTTAAAAATAATAAAGATGTACTGGTTACTTTTGGAGAAATTGATATCTATATAGGTTCAAGTGGTTCCAGTGAGTAAGATGGAATTCTGGAAGTGCTTTTAAGTCTGTCAATAAAATTTTTTAGATTTCTTAAGATACTATTTTTGTATTAATTTTATTTTACTATTTTATTGCCATTTTGAATAAGATCTATTTCAAGTATATTTTCTCATTTATAGGGAAATTACTGATTTTGTGTTTTGAGTTTATAACTATCCATCTTCCTTTGCTTATACTTGTAATATTTTGTAGTTGCTTCTCTTGCATTTTTTAGTTAGGTAATCATATCACCTTAAAATAATCATTATTTTATCACCAATTTTCCTAAAGTTAAATCACTTTCTTCTTATAGCTTAGGTAAGTCATTCAGACTAATATTAGATAATAGTTATGATAGTGGACATCATTTGTTGTCTTTTATTTCAATGGAAAGAATATCGGCTTTTGAATTAAGATAAATATCCTTTATCATTGACAGAAAGATAGTCTTGCGCTATGGCTAAGAGTACAGCCTTTAGAGTAATTCTGTATTTACTAGTTGACTGATTTTCTGTAAGCTACTCAATGTTCTGAAACTGCATCTTTATTTGAAACAAAGTTGTTGATAGTGTCTATCTTATAGGGTTATTGTGAATATTAAATGAGATAACAAATGTAAAATGTCTGCTACAGTGATTGACGTATAGTAAGGGCTCAGGATTATTATAGTGGGTACAGATACTAAATGAAATATCTTTTAGAATTCTCCTGAGGAAATTAAACCTTTTTTTCTCATTCTCCCTACTTATAGATAATAAAATACGATTATGTTAATATATTAATAAAATTAGTAACATTAAGTCATGTATTGATGGGATAGAAATTTACTCGTCATAGAATAACATCTTTAAATACACAAATGGATTTGATTTGCTGAGATTGTATTAAAATTTTTTTAATCAGTATATGTATGATTAATCTATGTAAATTTCTACTATTTTTATAAGGTCGTGGTATTAGGCTTAAACTTGCTTTGTAAAATATGAATTTTAGTTCTTTTTATGTGATGGAACAGTTAACATAGTATAATAATTATCTATATCTTGAAATTTTAAATAAATGTTTGATAAAACAATATTAACCTAGGGCTATATTTGAGGTAATATTTTAACTTTTTCAGTATTTTGCCTTGTCACTGTCTTGCTCAAGTGTTTTACATCAGATAATTAATCTGTATTTTTTTGTATCTTTTGTAAAAAATTGTCCTTGCAATTGAAACTTATGTTTATTACTATACAATTATCAATAGTATTTTCTTATAATTTAAAAACATCTTCTTTATTAAGGTTTTATTTTTTCTAATTAAAATTTGGGTTGTGTTCATTTTCTCTTCTTGATTAAAATTGCAAGACCTCTATTTTTTATGATTTATGTTTTTTCCTATATATGTTATAAAAAGTAGTACATTATGTTGTGCATACAGATTTTTTTAACTTTTTATTGAGATTATGATAGTTTACAACCTTGTGAAATTTCAGTTGTTCATTGTTGTTTGTCAGTCGTGTTGTAGGCACACCACTTCATCCTTTGTGCCTACCTCCCACCCCCCCTTTCCCCTGGTAGTCACTAATCTGTTCTCTTTGCCTACATGTTTATGTTCCACATATGAGTGGAGTCATACAGAGATTGTCTTTCTCTATCTGGCTTATCTCCCTTAACATAATACCCTCAAGGTCCATCCATGTTGTTGTGAATGGGACGATTTTATCCTTTTTATGGCTGAGTAGTATTCCATTGTGTGTGTATATATATACCATATCTTCTTTATCCAATCATCAGTTGATGGGCACTTAGGTTGCTTCCACATCTTGGCTATTTTAAATAACGCTGCAATGAACATAGGGTTGCATGGGGCTTTTGGAATTGCTGACTTCAAGTTCTTTGGATACATACCCAGTAGTGGGATGGCTGGGTCATATGGTATTTCTATTTTTAATTTTTTGAGAAATCTCCATACCGTTTTCCATAGTGGCTGCACCAGTTTGCATTCCCACCAGCAGTGTATGAGGGTTCCTTTTTCTCCACAACCTCTCTAGTATTTGTTACTTTTTGTTGTGGTTATTTTTGCCATTCTAATGGGTGTGAGGTGATACCTTAGTGTAGTTTTGATTCACATTTCCCTGATGATCAGCGATGATGAGCATCTTTTCATGTGCCTATTGGCCATCCATATACCTTCTTTGGAGAAACGTCTGTTCATGTCCCCTGCCCATCTTTTGATCGGGTTGTTTGATTTTTTTGTTGTTGATTTGCGTGAGTTCTTTATATATTATGGAAATTAACCCTTTGTCAAATATATGACTTGCAAGTATTTTTTCCCAATTAGTGGGTTGTTCTTTTGTTTCAATCCTGTTTTCCTTTGCCTTGAAGAAGCTCTTTAGTCTGATGAAGTCCCATTTGTTTATTCTTTCTATTGTTTCCCTTGTCTGAGACGACATGGTTTCTGAAAAGATCCTTTTGATACTTATGTCAAAGAGTGTACTGCCTGTATTTTCTTCTGGAAGCCTTATGGTTTCAGGTCTTAGCTTTAGGTCTTTGATCCATTCGAGTTTATTTTTGTGAATGGTGAAAAAGAATGGTCAATTTTCATTCTTTGAAATGTGGCTGTCCAGTTTTCCCAGCACAATTAGTTGAAGAGATTTTCTTTTCTCTATTGTAGGCCCTCAGCTCCTTTGTCGAAGATTAGCTGTCCATAGATGTGTGCTTTTATGTCTGGGCTTTCAATTCAGTTCCATTGATCTGTGCACCTGTTTTTGTACCAGTACCATGCTGTTTTGATTACTGTAGGTTTGTAGTATGTTTTGAAGTAAGAGACTGTGACGCCTCCAGCTTTGTTCTCTTTTCTCAGGACTACTTTAGCAATTCAGGGTCTTTTGTTGCCCCATATGAATTTTAGGATTCTTTGTTCTATTTCTGTAAAGAATATTGTTGGGATTCTGATTGGGATAGCGTTGAATCTGTAGATTGCTTTAGGTAGTATGGACATTTTAACTATGATTATTCTTCCAATCCATGTGCATGGAATGCCTTTCCAACTCTTTATGTCGTCATCAATTTCTTTCAGGAAAGTCTTGTGGTTTTCGTTGTAAATAATATGGAACACTTCACGAATTTTCATGTCATCCTTGTGCGGGGGCCATGCTAATCGTCTCTGTATCATTCCTATTTTAGTATACGTGCTGCTGATGCGAGCAGTGCATACTATTTTATAAGCTGCTTTTTTTCACTTTCTTTAGATATCGTTAACTTTACTTTTACATTATAATTTTTGTATATATGAAGTTTTATGGGTTTTTTTGGTAACAGTTTTATAGAAATAGTTACCGTATAATTTATACATTTAAAGAGTACAATTCAATCATTTTAGTACATTCAAAGAGTTGAGCAACCATTAATAGAATCAGATTTTGGACATTTTCATTACTCCAAAATAAAACCCCCCACCCACTTTTTTAAATGCTAGCATGGCATTGCATTATGTGGACACACTGTCTTTAATTGTTGACAGTTAGATGGTTTCTAAATTATGATATTATAAATAATATTCTGATGAACATCCTTGTAGTCAAAGTTTATGTAAGAAAACCCTAAGTATAAATGCAAAAATTACGTTATATACCAAAAGCTTTAAAAATCTGTATAACTTTTGACAGAGAAATAGTTATGTTCGAAATTGTCCAACACTTGGTATTAGCATTAAAAAAGCAATGCCTGAAATTTAATAACTGAAAAATGATATTACAATTCTATATTATTTTGTCTTCCTTCAGATGTTATCAGGTGGAATATGTTTTCATATGTTTATTGACTGTTGTGCTGTTTTTTATGCTTTACTAGTATATTAAAAGTTTTTTTTTGTTTTTGTCCTTTTCATCTTTCAAGAGTAATTTTGTTTCTTTTTCAATTGCTATATATCTTATTTCAGTTGTTTATCTGTTTTCTTTTTTCAATTTAGGCAATACTAAGCTTCTTTTTTTCAAACGCTTTTAGTGACGATGCAGTTGTGTTTTAACTTGTTTAGGAATGACCATATTCCTAAATTATTGAGAATTTGTTTTTCATCAGATGTAGTAATTGAATTTTATAGGTTCATTGAGAAGTTAAGAAAACATACTTAATCTTAGTAATGTGTCTCAGTCATTTCATTATGATGCCAACAGTATCAAATTGGGCTCTAAATTTGCATTTAAGTATTGACAAAATTGAGCAATGAATATAGAAAACTAGATGTATTACATAGCTTCATATGTTGGCTGACTTTTAAGGGCTCTAAAGCAATTTATGAGTTGCTTAAAAAGTTAAACATGGACGTAGCATATGACTCAGCAATTCCACTCCTAGATCTATACTGAAATGAAATAAAAGCATGTATTCAAAGAAATACTTGTACACACATGTTCATAGCAGCACCATTCACAGTAGCCAAAAGGTGAAAGCAACCCAAATGTCCATCAACTGGTAAATGAATAAACAAAATGGTGTATATCCATACAATGGAAATTTTGTAATCATAAAAAGGAATAAAGTACTGATACATGCTATAGCCTGGTGAATCTCAAAAAATCTGTGATAAATGAAAGAAACCAGACAAAAGACATCACATATTGTACGATTTTATTTATGTGGAATGTCCAGAATGGCAAATCCATAGAGACAGAAAAAAGATTGGTTTTCGTCACGAGTTGAGGGAAATGACCGCTTACTGGGTATAGTCTTCTTTGGGAGTGATGATAATTTTTTTAGAACTAAATAGAGGTGATATTTGCACAGCATTGGGAATATACTAAATACCACTGAATGGCATACCTTGAAATGACTAATTTATGTTATGTGAATTTTACCTTTATTAAAAAATAAATAAATGTGATTATAGGAGGAACATCAATGAATTTGAAGATATACTTAAAATGAACTCATGTGGGGTTAATTGATGTTGTTTCTCTTTTCCTTATTCACTTTACTAAATTCATGGTTTTATTTAACCCAAGAATTATGAGAACTGATCTAAGAAATCATTAAATACAAAGTTCTCTCAGGAGGAAAAATGATGCTTAGGTCTTTGTTTCAGGAGTAGCTACCAGTTAGAAAATTGATGTTGATATCTGGCTTCAGTGTCAGCGTAATGATTTTAATTGGGAAAAGTCCTTTCATCTTTCAGAATCACATAGTTTCTTGAAAAAAAAGGCAAAAAATAATTATGTATACTACTGTCATAATAAGTGATATATCCTATTGACTCTAGAAATTGAGTTGTTGGATCTATTTTATAAATATTATATAATTGCTTATTACTTTTTAAAGTGTTGACAGGGCGCTTAGTGTCACAAAGAAAATTCCCATAAGATGGTTTCCACCTGCAATAGACATAGACACTGATAGATAGGAATATGAAAGAATATTTTTAAAGCTAGTCTTTAGTGCCACTGACCTCATTTTATAGTAGTTGTGAGCATGGTTCTATGAAGGACTTGGTAGATATTTTTGCTGAAGTAGAAGTGTCTGTTTTCACCTGGAATTCCTTCATCCTTTTATTTTATAACAGAGCCCTTTATTTCTGTTCTTGCCTTTCCGTAGCCCATTCTTATCAGAGAGACCAGAGGGATTCCTTAAAATGTAAATCAGATCATATCACCACAACTACCTGTAAAATCCACCAAGCTTTCCATGTAGTGGAGAGGAAAGTCGGAAGCTCTTACAGTGGCTTGCAAGGCCTTTTCTCCCTAAGCTAATTTACTGCGCTAGCTATTGCTCATGCCATTCCAGGCATGTTGGCCTCTGTGCTATAACTGGTCTGCAATAAGCACACTCTCACCTTGGGGGCTTAGCACTTGCTGTTCCTACTACCTGTAATGTTTTTCTCTAGATGTCTGTATAACTTGGTCCCTTAATTTCTTCAAGTTTCTTTTCACATGTGAACTTATTAAAGAGGCTTCCCCTAACTATCCTATTTAAAATAACAGCTTCCCCAGCATTTCCTATCCTTTCTTGTTTTCTTTTTTATGTAGCGGTTATCACTATCCGAGACACTATGTATTTCCCTTATTTCTTCATTTATTGTCCGTCTCCCTCAACTAAAATGTACACTCCATAAGGACAGGGGATTTTTTGTCTGTTTTGTCTGTTCTGTTCACTGCTATACTCCCAGCCCACCAGAAATAGGCCTGCCCTTAGGCACTCAGGAAATACTGCTTGCATTAATGAATACATCTTGCTTAGTATGTGGTGAATCTGTTCAGTCTAAAGATTCGTTACTATTGTTATTTACAAGTAATGTTTTTTTTCCTTTGGTGACTTCCTCTCACTCCTTTTTGCTGGAATTCCTATTAATCAAATTTCCCCAAAATGTTATTTTTTTTCACTTTACTATGTTTTAAAGAGATATTCTTGGCTCTATCCTGGTGGTGCAGTGGCTAAGTTCACACATTCCGCGTGGGCGACCCAGGATTCAAAAGTTCAGACCCAGGGCGGGACCTACGCACCACTCATCAAGCCATGCTGTGGCGGCGTCCCATATACAAAGTAGAGGAAGACTGGCACAGATGTTAGCTCAGGGACCATCTTCCTCAAGCAAAAAGAGGAAGACTGGTAACAGATGCTAGCTGAGGGCCAATCTTCGTCACATACACACCAAAAAAGATATATCCCTTGTAAGGACTTCCCCTTTTAAGAATCAGTGATGTTTAGTTTCCATGAATTCTTATTCTCATAATTGCCTTTATAAAATCTCCTGTCCTTATATTATTGATGCAAATATATCTAAGCAGTCTAGTTAGATTTTTTTGATCCTTTTCTCTTCCTTGAATTGTATTTATTTCCTGCAGTGTGATATATTTGATATATTTGGTTTGATCCTCTTCATCTTTCTATTTTGTACATTGGTTTCTTCAAATATGTGCTTATCCCTGAAGGTAATTTATTTTTTTTAATGAAGACCTAGTTTGCTTGTTTATAAAATGAGTTGTTTCCCTTATAGGTTCCTTCCTTGTTTGAAAGGGAAAAGTCTTGTATAATCGAGTAAGTATTGTGGCCTACTAGATTTTACTTTATTGTGCATTGGAGAATTGGTTCATTACCAACCCTCCCTGTTCCCCACCATGCTTACAGGTAGTTGGGCTAGAATCTGGTGTACAAAACCCCTCCAAGAAGCCAAACTGTCCCAGGCCAAACCTGAAATTTCATTAGGGAACAATCTTTTGGTGGTATCACTGGGCTGATTCTGCATTAACAGGAATGGAAAGTGGCCAGTGTGGTCAGATGTGGCCATTTGTTTCCCATCCCTTTAAATACTCAGCCTGTTTTCTGTTTCGCTCGCAACTGCATACCTTCCAACTCTGAGTGTGTGGCATTTCCAAACCTATGCTAGGAAGATTGACTCCCACCACAATTGTAAGTTTTCCTTGTGTCTATTCTGGCTTGTGGCTTCCTCCTCTTTGTTCTACACATTAGTGTGCTGACCTTCACTTTTTATCTTACAGAATTTCATGAGCAATTTTTATCTTCTAAAGATCATCTCTCCTTACCCTTCATTTCCTCCATGTTATATGTTTATTCCTTTATGTACATATTTACTATAACTTTAATGGGATTTTGGAATGTAGAGGCAGTACATGAATGGACTCAGTTTCCCATCTTGATCCAAAGCCAAGAAATAATTACTTTTTGGTTTATGTGTTAGCCTTTTTTAAATGAAAGAAAAATGCTACTCTTTACCTATTTCTTCCTCACTAACACCCCTGTTATGGACTTAATTGTGTCCCCTGAAAATTCATATGTTGAAGCCCTAATCCTCAGTGTGACTGTATTTGGAGATAGGACTTTTATGAGGCAATTAAGTTTAAATAAGGTCATTTCTAATCAGATAAGATCGGTGACCTTACACACATGCACTAAGGAAACGTCATGTGAGCATACAGCCAGAAGGTGGCCATCTTCAAGCCAGAAAGAGAGCTTTCAGTAGATCCTGACCATGCTGTCACCCCGATCTTGGAGTTTCAGCCTCCAGAACTGTGAGAAATAAATTTCTGTCATTTAAGCCACTGAGTCTATAGTATTTTGTTACGGCCGCCTGAGCTGACTAAGACAACCCTAATCAGGTATTGACAATTGTCTATTCCTTCTTTGGGGACCTAGATTAGCTCCTTTGAATTCCCTTCTTCCTAGCAGACATCCTGGCAAAGACAAGGGACTTTATCAGG